GGGAAGAGGAGATCAGTTATTATCCACATAAGGTACTCACCAGAGCAGACGATAAGCCCAGTTAAACTATCAAGCTCAGAGCTAGGCAGACAGGAGACAGGGCCAGAACCAGTGGTCCAGATCAGACCTGGAGAAGGTCTGGAGCTGAGGTCAAACGCTGACTCTCCCCAGTGACCCACACAGATTACTTTCTCTGTTTGTTTCCTTATTTGTAAGAACAAATGTGACAACGTTTACCTCACCAGATTCTTGTGAAGTTGAAATGGCATAAATATAATGCTTATGTCTGGCACATCCTAACAGAGTAGCACCTTGGTAGGGAAAAAGCCCTAGGGAATGGAAAGATGAAATCTATAGTGTTCAGTGACTAGCTGTGTAGTGAGGTCTGGGAGTAACTGCGGTGGCTCTCAGGTTTCTGGCTTTAGTGACCAGGACTTTCCCTAGTGGTGGTGCCACTGATTATAACAGAGAATGAGAGGCAGGGTCAGGCCTGGGGGTGGTGAGGAGGATTGGGGGTGATACTGATGTGCTTGGTTTTGCATCAGGCTTTCAGGGCTTGGGGTCTTCCTAGTGGGAACACTCATTAGGGAATGGGGACTGATGCCGAAGCAGGTGAGTGGCCAGGCTTGGCAGTATGAGTCTGAGTGTCCCTGGCATATAGGTCATGTTTAACCCTGAAGGGTAGAGGTGGTGCCCCAGGGAGATGATACAGAGACCTTAACCTAGGATCTGTGAACCCTGAGTCTATGAGTGAGATTTAGGGAGTCAGTGAGTACTGTGAAACCATACACAAAAGGCTGTCTGTACACATTTTCCTGGTCCTCCTGGTCCAAGCTCTCACTAAATTTTCAAAGGAGTCTGTGATCCTCCCAACCCCACCTCAAGGTTACAAACCACCAGTACAGAGTGAGGCACCCTGGGGGAGTACAGATATTCAGGGGTCAGGCAGAGACAAGAAAGAGACCATGTGGAGAAGGCAAGAGACCCAAGACATAACGGGAGAGACTCAGAGCAGCAACTCAAGAGTCAGGTCAGGCTGAGGTAATCAACTGAGATCAGAACTGAATCCATCAGTGGAGGTCACCGAATGGGAAGGGGAGGAAGTGCCCCTGAAGGTGGCACAAACCAGTGGTTTATGGTCATTCATGGAAAAGGGAAGCCTTTGCATGAGGGAACTTGTCCCCTGGTAGCAATGAGAATGCTGCAAATAAAGTCTCATGAATCCACGGCCATTTCAAGGGCATACATAGCCCATCCTGCACCACACATAGCAACCAGATCCCAGACTACTGTTTAGGCTTCTTTTTGACAAAAGTAAGTTCTTTTTTGTTGTTGTTGTTGTTATTTCTAGGAGAGAGAGAGAGAGAGAGAGAGAGAGCGTGAGCAGGGGAGGGTCAGAGAGAGAGGGAGTCACAGACTGAAACAGGCTCCAGGCTCTGAGCTAGCAGTCAGCACAGAGCCCGACGCGGGGCTTGAACCCACGAACTGTGAGATCATGACCTAAAGTCGGATGCTTAACTGACTAAGCCACCCAGGTGCCCCTGACAAAAGTAAGTTCTTAAGTTCCAGGTAAGCTCGGCATGTGGCATATCTGTAAAGAGCACCCACTTTGGGAGAGTCAGACTCAGGTCTAGCCCAGGTCTATCACTTACTAGCTGTTGCCCTGGGCAAGCTAGTTAATGCCCTGGTCTCACTTTCCTCACCTATAAAATGTGAACAGTAATTCAGCTTCAGGCTTGGCTGTGATCATTTAATGAGATACTATATTGAAGTACTGAGCTCAGGGCCTGATATTCTATCAGCTTAGCTCAGTGGTGCCACCTTTATGGTCTAGGGCAGCGCTGTCCAAGTGTGAGCTACATCTGTAATCATACATTTACTAGTAGCCCCACTACGAGATCAAAAGAAACAGATGAGGGGCACCTGGGTGGCTCAGTCAGTTGGGTGTCTGACTTCGGCTCAGGTCATGATCTCACAGTCTGTGGGTTTGAGCCCCGTGTCGGGCTCTGTGCTGACAGCTCAGAGCCTGGAGCCTGCTTCAGATTCCGTCTCTCTCTCTCTGCCCCTACCCCACTCACTCTCTGTCTGTCTCTCAAAATAAAATAAAGACATAAAAAAAAAAAAAGAAACAGATGAAATTAATCTTAATGTATGTTATTTTACCCATATCATCCAAGATATTATCATGTCAATGTATAATGAATGATTTTCCAATCTACTACTAAGTTAAATCCATATTTCTAATTGTTTTTCAGCCCTATCTACATTAGCCATAAAATTTCTTTCTTTTTTTTTTAAGTTTATGTATTTTGAGAGAGAGACAGTGTGAGTGGGGAGGAACAGAGAGAGGGGGGAAGAGAGAGAGAATCCCAAGCAGGCTCTGCCCTGACAGAGCAGGACTCGAACCCACGAAACCAAGAGATCATGACCTGAGGGGAAACCAAGAGCTGGAAGCTTAACCAACTGAGCCACGCAGGTGCCCCAAGCCATAAGACTTCTAAAAGGTTCCTGGTATACACAATATGCAAACTTTTAGTGGTGCTCCTGAAAAATCATCACAGTGGACTGTATAGAGAAAATAATGGCCAGATGACAGCAAAAGAGCTGTCAAGTGATGAGCTATAATGGTGCAAAGAAATGAGGGGGTGGAGGGGCATAAGACATATTTAAAGAGCCGACGAAAGGACCGCTTTCCAAAGCTGCAGCCAGGCTAAGCACTGCTAAGGAAAAACGGCACAAAAGTCAATGCGGTACAAACTGTGTGGGGGCAGGACCGGGGAGGCCAGGAGCACAGGCTGATAGGAGTCGAAGTGCATGGTAAGGTCTCAGCAAACAATGGCCAGGGGCTTAGTGGGCCAGCAGAGCACCTGCCACCACACTGCTTTGTACTGTCTGTGGCTGTATCTTCAAAGACAGAACTAGATGAAAGACAGAGAAGTGCCGTCGTTTAGGCTGAAGTCAGGAAAACTTTTCTTCTTCTGCAGTTAGAAAAGAAAACTAACTTAGTGCAAAATATGTTTTTCCATGTGTTAAACTTAAGGAAGTAATAAACTTTGACATAAATACTGATAGAACATTCACTGTGTATATTAATGTACTTTTTAAATGACCATTTAAAAAATAATACAAATTGTCTAAGAGGTAGATTCAAACTCTGCAAAAGAAGAATTCAAGCAAAGAAACTGAAATTATTGTCTTAGGTCGTCACAAGGAGACTATTTCAGCAAACATGAGAGGCCCAACGTTTTACAAAGAGTCCGAGCCACTGACATGAGGGGCAAGAACTCACTAGTCCCAAAGTCACCCACCACAGCAACAGGCTATGTTCATAGCGTACATGGTGCCCAAAGGGGTCCAGCTATCTTTGATATCTGGCTAAAGAATGCAGAGAGATGTAAAAGCCAGGTAAGATAGACCAGAGAGTCATGTTTCAATTAGGACATGTTACTTACTGAAGGAAAAACTCTGTTTTGCGTAGTATAGAGCACTGTGAAATCTAATGAATCTGGGAGCCCAGTGGTGGTGTGACTTTGCATACATTACTTAACCTCTCTGATTCTAAGTTTCTCCACCCATAAAACAGACAATTAATATTAACTTTGCAAAAGTTTAGTGAAAATGAGACATAATGCACGTAAAAGTGCTTTGCATAGTGTCTGACAAAACAGGTATTCAATAAACAGCTGTTACTGATAACAACAATAATAAATAAGACACTCATTTATTTTCATATTAGTAGAAAGGCTTAATTGGGAGGCACCTGGTTGGCTCAGTTGGTTAAGTGTCTGACTTTGGCTTAGGTCACGATCTTGTGGTCCCTGAGTTCCAGCCCCGTGTCAGGCCCTGTGCTGACAGCTCAGAGCCAGGAGCCTGCTTCAGATTATGTCTCTGTCACTCTTTGCCCCTCCCCCACTCATGTTTTCTCTCTCTCTCTCAAAAAAACAAATAAACATTAAATTTTTTTTAGGAAATAAAGGCTTAATTGGAAAAGTTTTCATTAAAGGCAGTGTAAGGTAAGGTCAGTAAACTTTCTTTTTGAGTCTGCATATACCAGCATGCAAGTGAGATTCATTTTCACAATCTTTGAAACTCTGAAAATTTATCAAATTTTATTTTTCCCGGCTTAATGAAAAATGAGGAGAAATTGGTCTTGAATGCCTCTGTGAATGACCTTGATGTTTTTAAAACAGCTTAGGTATTCATCCATGACAGAATTTGTGTCAGGGGAGGAGGAAGAATAGAGGTGGTTAGTGTGTGCTTTCCTAGGTCTGTGTGTATATGTGCTTTACGTCTTGAGATGGAAAAAATTCTTGCCCTGTGGTCTCAAAAGGCTGTCTCAAGCTACCAGGGACTCCTTGCATCAGGAAGAAGTACATCTGAAAAATTAACTCTCATTAAAAAATATGCAGTATGGGGGTGGCTGATTGGCTCAGTTGGTAGAGCCTGTGACTCTTGATGTCAGGGTCATGAGTTTGAGCCCCATGTTGGGCATAGAGATTACTTTTAAAAATGTGTAGTATAACTTTTTTCCTACAGCAGTATTTACATTTTGTTTTTTAAAGATAACTCAGAGAAAAATCTTTTAGTCTAAGAAATATAAATGTAATTGCTATAAAATTGCTGATACTATGACTCTATGTTGGTAGTAGAATCTTAGGCACTAGTGACTAAGTGGGAGAGAAGTCTTCCTTAATACTCCCAAACCAAACTGCACAGGTGACTTTCTCCTTCAGCTTAAGGTCAGACTGGTTTCAAATAAGAGATCTGCTTATAGCTACACAAGTTCATGGTAATTGCTGTGCATATGTGGGTATATGCATGTTAAGTATACACTTCGGATTGATAAAGTCTACTATCTCCATAACATTTTCAATAACAATTAGGGTCTATCTACCAAATTGGAACTTGCACCTGGCTTCCTTCTAACTAGTGTGAAATGTTAAAACAAGCCGAGAGTCACTATACTAACACATTCACGGAAGAGACATAGCTAAGTTTACCTTTCTTTGGTCTGGATTTCACTGGCAAGGACTCCTTTTTTTCCATTGCTGCTTCTCTTTCTTTCCATCGGCGGATCTGTTCCTCCCTCATCTTGAAGAACAGGATCTGTTTCTGTTCTTCGCTGAGCTCTGCCAGCAGATCAGGATCTATGTACATCTCCGATAGTATCTGTTTCAGCATCTTTGCAGGTCTGGAGTCTTTTACACCTGTGGCAAAAGTTCTTGAAAATGGCTTCCAGGTGTGCCTCCCCTGGGCTGGCACCTGGGCGAACCCACAGACCTCCTGAGAGACTCACAGCAATCCTAACGACGGGGACAATAATTCAGCAGACCGGTTCTTGGTTTCTGGCACCAAATATTCTGTCCAAAATTCTGTTCGTGAACCTGCAAAGAGCAACAAGCAAAAAGCAGGCAGTATTAAAATTGTAGACACCAGGCCGGGGCAGGCTTATGAATTAAGCTTGGAGGAAATACAGTATCGCCTTTCATTTCAGGTGAAAGGAAAAGAAAAGCTGAGGCACACGTTGTTAAGAGTTTGTGTAACCTTTATCCTGTAATTTCCAAAGATACTTTATCAAAAAAAACAAAATAAACCTTAACTTTTTACAGGTCAATCTCAGGGAAACAAAAAAATTAACAGAGATTTGGCCTTCTCCCAACTAAGCAAACATATTATTACCTCAGAGCCTAACCACCAACTGTATGGCTGAGTAAAGAATAAAAGAAAAAAAGGCACAGGAAGAAATTAAAAGGTTCTCTCCAAACAACTTATTTCAAAAGAAAACACTGTTTTTGAGATTTCACAGAATTACCCACCCCAAACCAAACCAAAACAGGGCCATGCTCAAGGAAGGAAAAAGAATAGACCATGATGAGTTTTCCCATTTCCCCTTAAAAGTAGCACTAAATAAACAAAATTATGTACTTTCATTTCAAAGGACAAGGCGATTTCCAGACAACCTACTGGAACCATAAAAAACACTGTATGTACAGGAGAAAACATTTATGTATATTCTGGAAGGTCACCAGGCTTTAGGTGTACCTGTTCCACACATCTAATTTAATAAAATTTAAATTTATAGACCAGGAAAATCTGGGAGAATAAAGACGTAACTGGGTTCCTTACAAAGGATCCCTGCTTTACAAAAGACTTTATTAGAGGGCTCCTTTAACAAGAAGCCAGGGACTGGCATACTCACAAGTGGTTTTGCAGTGGTTGTATTGGGGAAGGGGGGCAATTCCACTGAGGTTTTATCCAATTTACACATTTCTATTTGGGTGATTTTTTTTTTCATTTTAAGTAGCTCCACACCCAACGTGGGGCTCGAACTCATGACCCTGAGATGAAGAGTGAGTGGCACGCTCTACAGACTGAAACAACCAGGCACCTCAGATGATGTTTTTATGACATTTTCTTCAATAGAATAGGATACACAAAAAAGCTTACTTACTGAGACTTCTCAGGATCACCTATGTTTAAGAAGTTGACTAGTAATTTGGTGCTCACAATGCCTCAATAATCTCACCATCTAGCCATGCCCCTCAAATACCTTGTTTCTCCAGACTAAGTTCGAACACTCTTAAACTTCAGACCATTATTACTCATTACGCATACCATGCCTCCTCTTACCGAATTCCTTCATCTTGTCACTCACATAGCCAGTAAAGCTCCTTGGGAGTCCCCTTCTGCTCCCCCTCATCTTCCTCTTTCCTCAAAGCTGCTCTTTCATTTATACCAGTCTTCTGACACAAGAGTGCTCAACAGTTGGGGTACCCCAGAATGTCTGCATATACAGCACACAGTTAAATTCACTCCCTATTCATCGTGCCGCAGGGACCTTTACTGAGGCTATAACTATTCTCACTAAATGCATCCTATAACCTCCTGCAGCATTCAACTACTGGAACTCAAACGGAACACAATATTAAGAGAAAATTTTTGAAAAGAATTAAAAGCAATGTTTGACTCTAACTCAGGCAGTCATGTCCCTCCCAGGCTCCCTTCCTACCTTTGTATTTGGCTTTGAGATGATCCTCAATGGCTAGAACAGCCACAGAACTGATGTCCTGTGATGCTTTTCTGACTTTTGGGTCCTAACAGCTTCTTGAGGGGCAGGACCAGCTAAATCCACACTAAAAGAGAGGGTGCCAGAGGCTGAGCTCTGTCTTCCTAGGAACCACAGGAAGAATCTGGTTCCCCAGCACACTTGACTCCAGTGTTCTGAGATGAAGTGGTAAAAAAAAAATCAAAGTGAATGACTCCTTGATATTCCAGTAATATCCTGATGTTGGCACATTCCACGACTCCAGTGACTGACTTTCACAGAAATAAAACATGTAGAAAAGGAAGAACCCAGTGAAGCCTGACGTTTTGGTTCTGTTTCCTATTTGGAATGGGGTGAATCTTAGCAACAGCGATGGTCTGCGTAAAGCCAAAAAACCGAAACCCTGACAGTGCCAAATTCAGAGTGTTCCTCTTTCCCCATCCCCGAGTACCCCTGATAATAAGAGCTTACCCACACTATGCCAGACACTACCTTAACCACCTTACATATATTAACTTATTACGTGATTTTCACAATTACCTTTGGAGTTCAGCCCCTCCCGCTTCCGATTTCACAGATGAAGAAAACAGAAAGTGGCAGAGCTGAGCAGTCCGTCTCAGAGTCAGCTCCACTGTGCTCCACTAGTACAGTAGAGTTTCTTTGTAAGCCCAGAATCAGCACATCATCAGGGTATGGTACCACATTTGAAATTTCAGAATGAAGACCAGCAAATTCTTCCAGCAACATAAATGTTGACTTGAAGGTGTATGACACATAATACTTCTCAGGGGCAGAAGCCTCATCCAGGTAACCGTAGCTAAGCTGAGGGGAGGCCAGGTTTTGAAGAGACCTCCAACCAGGAAGGGCAGCCAGGAGCTGTCATGGCGGCCCAGGTGTGGATGTTGTTTGCCTGCTTTATTCACCAGGTGCTTAGTGTTCTCAGTTTCCCCTCTCACAACCACTAGGAGCAGCACAAATGGTACAGCCTCTCACAGGTGTGAAAAGTTCCATTGTACCTCTGTGATGAGATAGTCAAGCTCTTTCAGTTTTAGTTTTGGCTGGTTTTGCCTTTTCTAGCAAATGTGGATTTTTAGCATTAAACTTGACTACCGGATCTTGACCAAAGACACTGGCTTCCCCGTGTACTCAGAAAATACTTGGGGACCCAGCTAACAACTGTCTTGAGGCCAGACAGCTGAAGTAATCCCGTGCTGTTTAAGGCTGTTGATTCCCACCAGTGTGAATTAACTCCTTCCTCCCCAGTGCTTTCAGATGGAAAACTCACATTGCACAGGGTGCTCACAGAACACCCAGCAAGAACCCCAGCGTGGGCTTTTCAAGAGCTGCATGACTTTCAGATGTCAGCTACTGAGTTTTCTCATCCATGAAATGAGGGCCTGTATTACACATCTTTGTAATTTGAGGACTATGTCATAGTGTCCATGCGAAGTTACAGAGACAAGCTGAAGCAGGGTAGAGGAAATAGAAATGAGGAAACTAACTAACCAGGGTTTTTCCCACTTTCACTCCCTGACAGGACAACCCCTGACATTGATTCAAACTTCAAATGACTTTCCCCATCTAACAAATGAATGCAGCAAACTTCCAGCTAGTCAAGCTCCAATAAAAAGAAAAGCTAAGCTAACTTGGTTTTCTTCCTGTATAGCAGTTTTCTTTAAAAAGAGAAATGACAACCCCACATCTGCTATTTATTCCAAAAATAAATTTCTAAAGGGTGATAGGATCGGTTTTCCGGGATACCATAGATTTGACCTGACTCTCACATCTTCCACAGCCCTGTTCATCAAAATAAAAATTGCGTTTTTAATGACTCTGAGACCTTGGGTGGGGCGAAGCCCGAGATAAAGCCTAAATCATAACAATAATGTAATATGGACCATAAAATTTTAATGTTAAGAACATAGTTTGAATTCTAATTATTTTAAAACAGCCAGCTGTTTTCAGACTTTCAGTTATCTTATTCAACTTTACCTAATAAAGCTTATCTACAAAAAGGCACTTTTTAGGATAAAATGAATTACCAAAGGTGACAGCAATTTGGTAAGTTTTGTACATACGCTTCAGAAATTTGAAATCACTGTACAGATTTATCTAGAAAATTCCTCTCGTGTGTCAAATCTATGCCCACAAATGCCTTCGGTTTATTTATTCACTTTTAAAAGCTCCAAGTTGTCTCTATGAAGCAGGCGATCAAAAGCTCTTTCGAGGGGAGCCTGGCTGGCCTAGTGAGTAGAACATGCGACCTTTCATCTCCCCAGCGTGAGTTCGAGCCCCAACTCGGTGAGGGCTGGGTGGGCGGGTAGAGTTTACTTGAAAAACAAAAACCTTCTAGGAGGTGAGGAAGACTAAGCTTAGAGAGGGGTGCCATGCTTCTTTCTTCCCTGTGACCCTTGGGAAGGGAAACACAGCTCTGAGAAAACCTACAAACTTGACTTCTCCTGGCGACTCCACGCCCACCCCCTCCAGGGGCCCGCGCGAACCCCAAGAACAGGAGTGGGCAGGGCAGGTAACGACGACGAAGGTCGCTGGCTGGGGCCACGGTCGGGGTCTACCTTCCAGCGGGCGACCGGCGACACTGGGCCCTGAAGCCGGCCCCGCCCGCGGCGCGCGAACCCCACGGGGAGGGCAGCCCTGGGTGCCGGCGCGCTGGGAAACCGGTTCCCGGGACTCTCCCAGAAGCTCTGGGGCGAGGGAGGTCCGCATGGCCCTACCCCACGTGTGCGCGAGCGCTCCTCCGCGGGTGCAGTCGCTGCGGGGCCACAGGCGGGGGCGCCCGTCGCGGCCCAGCGGGCGGGCGGGCGCGCAGGAGCCGCGGGGGCCCGGACCGACGGGAGTCACGCGTGGCGCCGGGGCCGCTCTGCTGCAGTCCAGGAGCTCCAGGCTAAGCCCGACCCTCCCACGCGGCCACCGCGGGCCCGCCCCCGCCCAGTGACGCGCCTGCACACACCCCTCAGGTACCCGGGGGCCCGCCCGGAGCCCCAGAACTGCCCCCAGACCTCCGGAGGGCGCCGAAGGCTTCCCCCTCGGGGCTCCGGGTAGGTCGGCCACAGCCCCGGCCTCCCACCCGCCCGCGGCTCCAGACACCGGACACCCGACACCGGACACCCGCCGCCCGCCGGGCCGCGGCGGAGGAGGGCTGGGGGAGGGGCGAGTGCAGGCCCGGGCCCCGGCGTAGCCGCCGCGGGCCTCCCCCAGCCCGCCTCGGCGCCGCGCCTTCCACGCTCCCTCCGGAGCCCTTCGCCCCACCGCGCACACACAGCCTTCCCGGCCTCCGCTTTCTGGTCCCCCTCCCCCCACCCCAGGCACCTACCGGCTCAGGGCTCTGCGCTCCTCTAGCGGACCGACCCGCGCGACGCCACGTCCAGCTGGGCCGCCAGAAGCTGTCGGAGAAGGGAGGGCAAAGCAGGGGCGCTTGAGAGCAGCACTGGCCGGCTGGACAAACACTCCGGCCGAGATGTTGGCAAACAGTGTCCCTCAGCCCCGGCCCGCCTGCGCCGCCCCACCCGCGACCCACATGCCCGAGTGACTGACTGGGCGCTCGCGGCCCCACCCGGGCACCTGGAGACGTTCCAGGGCCAGACTTCGGCGAGGCCCTGCGGCCTGCTGCACCCCCCGCCCCGCTCTCCTGGCCGCACACTGCCCCCAGCTGCCGGGGGTCCGGGGCGGCAAGACCACCGCCCTCCACCCGCAGTCTGTGAAGGCCTTTAGAGGCATCTCAGGACCGGCACAACTTAATATCAAAGGGCCCGGCCCCTTCTTCACTCCGGAGCTCAAGGTTTCCGAGCTCAAGGTTTCCTTCAAGGTGGAGCCTGAGGAGGCGGGCAGGCCCTTCTCAGTGACAGAGTCCTGGCAGGCCAAGTCGGCTCACCTCTCGGGCTTTGCTCCTGAGCTTCCTTTTTTTTTTTTTTTTTTTCCCCTTTTGTTGATATTAAGTAATTTATCAGACATCAGGACTTTGTCAGTACAGGTGTGGCTTTGTAGGACAGGATGGAGGAGGCGAAAGGTTAGAAAGTTAGAGACTGCAAACAGAGACGGAGTAAAAAATGAAAGATATCTGTAGAAAAGGAGAGAAGGTAAAGGAATCTTCTGAATTGCAGCAAGAACAGGTTGGGGTGGTGCATGAAGGGAGGGGCTGACTGAGTGCAGGAAAGCTCAGCAGAAGCAGAGAACAAACGTTGGAGGGCATTTTTCATTGTGGGGGAACATTCAGAATGTGGGCAGAAAAACAGCCTGCTTTGGGGTACTCCGGATTCCACATGTTGGGGAGAAATGTAATAAACAGTGAGCATTCAGTAGCCCACAGACTACCTGATAAATTCAGAGATCTGATTTGCTTCCTTCAAAAATGAACCTTTCTTATTTTGAACCTCTCCAGCCTCCAGAAGATACTCAAAGTTAGAAAGAGCCTTGGGGCACAGGCAGTCCTTGAGACCTAGCTATTTAGGAACCATTCTAGGGATCCTATCAGAGGAGAATTTCTGGTTTAGGTTTGGTTCCCACTGTTTATTAAATGAATGGCCCGTGGGTGCATTTGGCTGGATTGTCATTTGCCCCTGGGTAGCTGCTGTGTCCAGCTGAAAATGAATCCTAACGCTTCATGGATTGAGCAGTTGAAGAGCTATAAAGAGTGGTTCATCAGCCAGCAAGATTTCCACAGAACACTGGTAGCAGCCAATTATCTTCCCCCACACTCAAATTCTTTTCATGTCCTGACAAGTCTTTCTTTGTAACAGCTCTCCCACTTCATTATTAACCCCTCTGGACTTCAGTTTTCCCTTCTGGATAATAGCAATGCCTACTACCTCATGAAGTTCTTGAGAGAGTTAAATGAGATAATAATACATGTAAAGCGATTAGAATATTTCCTAGGATTGGTGGGTGTTCAAACACATTAACTTATTTCACATCACGTACTATAATTTCAAGTTACAACTTCACATTTAGACTGTGGATTTTGTCTTCTGCGGTACCTAAACTCCAAGTTAGCCTCATTGATCCATCCCCACCTTCTAGAGTGTCACTTCTGAGATTAGGTTATAAAAGACCTTGAAAGTGGTGGCCAGGCTGGGCCTCCAGTGCAGGTCTTTGAGGCACTACTGTGGGACCGCCAGCTTCAAAATTGCAGTGCGTGTTCTGGCCCAGCAGCAAACTGGGTGACTGACTGCTCAATGTTCTCCAGGGAGGAAGCAGTGGGCAGAGCTGCTGACCCTGTGAACAAAATGGGAGACGCTGAAGCAGGCAAGAAGATCTTTATTCAAAAATGTGCTGGGTTCTACTCCTGAAACCAAGACTACATTTCATGTTAACTAACTTGAATTTAAATGAAAAAAAAAAAAAAAATCAATGTGCTCAGTGCTAGATGGTGGGGAAAAGTGGGAAACACAAGACTGATCCAAATCTCCAAGGCCCTTTTGAATGAAAAACAGGACAAACACCAGGATTTTATTATTCCAATGCTAACAAAAACAAAGGAGTTATCTGGGGGAGAGGAAACTGATGGAATATTTGAAAAATCCAAAGGAATATATCCCTGGAACCAAAATGGTCTTTGCAGGTCTTAAAATGAATGAGAGAGAAGATCTTATTCGATGTTTGAAATGGATAACATCTTCATGAAATACTCTTGCACCTTAAAGATTAGTAGTTATAAGCCCAGATTTTCCAATTTCAGATATTTCATGTTGAGTCATATTTGATCTTTCTTGATCAGCCTGTAGTAGGTTTAACATTTAAAACTAAAAGTTGAAATTAAAATAAATAAATAAAAAGAAAAGAGTTTAAAAATAAAGGACCTTGTAGCTTGTCTTGGTTTGTATGTGTCTCTCAGATCATTCACTCTGAAGGAAGCCAACTGCTACATCGTAAACAAACCTGGGAGAGGCCCACAGGAGAGGAACTGCGGACTCCTGCAACAGCCACACAATGAGTTTGGAAGTGGATCCTCCAGCCCTAGTGAAGCCTTCCAGTGACTGCAGCATTAGCCTGTAGCCTCAGTGCAAATTCACAAAACCGCCTAATTAAGCCACACCCCAGTTCCTGATCTACAACACTGAGGTAGAGTTTGTGCTGTATTAAGCTACTAAGTTTGAGAAAATTTGTTACACAGCAATGGATAACAAATATACTTCCTCATTGGTCTTGTTTCTAAGCCAGTTTTAGGTAGCTTTTGTATACAGAAAGTTTCA